TCTTATGCTTTTTCTGTTTGTCTGGAACCTTTCTGTCCTTACTCAGAGAACCTTCCAGAACTCACAGCTAAGAAGTCCCAGGGACCCCACATCATCATGATCCCTTGCTCTTGTTTTTCATTACAGTCACAAGGAATGATATTGTATATTTTTGTGCAAGCATTTTAAATGACTTAATAGACATCTCAGTGTAAAATATCTCTTTCCCTTTGTAAATTAGTGTTTTAACCAAAGTGACTTATACACAAAATTTAAAAAATCAAATAATATCCTAAGATTTTGTAGGAGAATCCATTGACCTGAAACACCTCTTCTTCCACCCTCCATAGTCAATTACTCCCAACTCTTGTTCGATTCTCCCTTTAGCTAGATCTTTTCATTTAAATAACACACCACTACATATTAACCCAAGGTTTTATTACATATTTTATTTTATTATGGTTTTAATACATAAAAATGCCAAAAAAATTTTTAGTGACAACCCATAATCCCTGGATTATACAATTAACATTTTACTGTATCTTCATTTTTTTTTACTCATCTACCCATTTACCCATCTGCCAGCCACCTGTCCACCATTCTGTTCACCACCCAACCGTCTATCCATTCAACCCATTTATCCAGTTATCCACTCACCCATTCCTCAACTCATTCATGCATTTACCTGTCCATCCATTCACCCATTAACACATGCATAGTGCATATATACACACAATCCATCTACCCACCCACCCACTCATCTATCCATCTACCCATCCACGCCTCTACTCATCCACCACTCATCCACCCACCCACTTATCCAGCCATCCACTCATCCATCCATCCACTCATCCATCCATCCACTCATCCAGCCATCCACTCATCCAGCCATCCACTCATCCAGCCATCCACTCATCCAGCCATCCACTCATCCAGCCATCCACTCATCCACTCACATACCCATCCACCCACCAATACACCCACCAGCTCATCTATCCATCCACTCATTCACCCACCCACTCATCCACCCACCAATCCACTCACTCACTCACTCACTCACTCACTCATCTATCCATCTACCCATTCACTTTGTTTTTGTTCCTATACTATACTTACATCACACTTTAAAAACTTCAATCAGCATCATCTTCACACACAACAATAAATGTAAGTTTCCTTCCTCAGACAGCACAGTGTAATGATCCTTCTTGTACAACTTTGTTCTCCTCATTTCCAGTTAGCTTTCTTTGCTGTGCAACACACATACATACACACACGAACACACACACACACACACACACACATACACACACATACACAGAGCGATTTAACAGAACCAGAAAATTCTATCATCTTTATTTGCTACCTGACTGAATGTATCAGATAATCTATAACTTATTTTCCCCAGAGAAACTGCCTTCCCATCAGTCGAGAGCTGCTTTCTCTCAGCTTTTAGAAGCTCCTATCTCTGGTGCCCGAGACATCACCAGCACATACCTTAGACCTTTAATGACCCTTTCAATTTGCAGACCAACATCTCTCAGCTTGGGGAAATTTTCTTCTATTATTTCTTTGATAATTATCCCTCCATTTTCTCTGAACCTCTCTAGAATTCCTAACGGTCAAATGACCAACCTCCTGAACTGATACTTTAATGTTCTCATTTTCTTTGCCATTATCTGCCTTTCTCTGCCTCGTATTCTCTCTCTTTCTGTTCCACTTTTGGGGAAATTTCATCTATTTTATCTTTCAAACCTTTTATTGAATTTTGAATTTTTTCCATCACTTTTAATAGCCAAGAGTTCTCTCTTGTGCTTTGATTGTCATGTATGATAGCTTGAATCTACACCTATCTGGGATCTCTCTGTCTCCCATCTACCATTTTTTTTATTTCAGGTGAAATCTCTGCTTTTATCTCTACGAGGATATTATATACACATATATGAATAGATGTGTGTACATATGTTCATGTATGTGGTATGCACATGTGGGCGTGCATGCACATATGTGCACATACATATGGAGGCCAGAGGACTTAGATGTCTTAGATGCCATTTCCCAGGCACTAGCCACTTATTTTAGAGATCTGGTCTTTCACTGGTCTAGAGATCAACAGGTAGGATGACCTGACTGGCAGGCGAGCCCCAGGGATCTGTCTGTCTCTTGTTCCCCAGTACTGGGATTATAAGCTAATACCACTATGGAAATATTTGCATATATATTTTATTACATATTTTTATTATTGTTTTGAAAACAGAGAAATGCCAAAAAATTTTACACCTGGATTTTACAATTAGCATTTTACTGTATATTTATGATTTTACTTATCTACCCATTTACTCATCATCCAGCCACGCCACCCATCTTCCCATCTACTCACTCACCCACCCATCTATCTATCCATTCAACCACCAACCCATTCATCTACTTGTCCACTCATCCATTCATCAACTCATTCATGCATCTACTCACCCATCCATCCACTCACCCATTAGCACGCGCGCACACACACACACACACACACACACGCACACACACACGCACACACACACACACATACACACACACACATACACACACACACACACACACACACACGTGCACACCCGCAGGGTTAAGTTCGGGTCCTTGTGCTTGGAAGGCAAGCACTTTACTGATGGAGGCGTCTTGACAACCCCAAGTTTGTCCCAGCTTCTTCTAGTTTTCTTCTCTTCCTTTCATCTTGTGTGGCATTCATGATGCCAAGAGTTCTTGCGTTGTCCACATCTGAGTGAAGGAGTCATTAAGAAAACCTGATTGGGGGCCATCGAGTTGGCTCAGTTGTTAAAAGCACCTGCTGCTCTTCCAGAGATCTTGGGTTCAGTTCCCAACTACCTGTAACCTCGGTTTCAGGGAATCCAGTGTATTCTTCTGGTCTCTGCAGGCACCAGGCATGCTAGCGGTACACACATACAAGCAGATTTTCACACATTATACACATAGAATTAAAACAAGCAAATCTTAAACAGAAAATAAAAGTTAGGGATTTACTGATTCTCTATATGCATTAAAAAAAATAAAAACAGAAAAAGAAAATCTGTCCTGACATTCTCTGGACGTAAGAGGGTCCCAACCCACTGGTGGATTTACTGTGAGATGAATAGCTATGGAACGGAATTTTCTTGGGAGGACACCCATACATTTTTATTGTCTTTTTTTTCCTTAAGCCAACTGAGGTTTTGAGGGGCGTCTACTGGATGCTTCCATTTTCAAAGCCTAGCCGGGGGAGGGGATCGATAGTGGCCCTGTCTTGTATAGGTTGTCTGATGCCTTCCTTCTGTCTGCAAAGCGCCTTCTAGTTCCCTCCCTAGTCACCTTCTGGGATTGGCTCCTCCCGCTCAACCTGGTTAGAGAGGAGAGGCTTGTCTGTCTGCATGGTCCAGAAGAATTACCTACAGCCCTAGCTTTTTTCCTTCTGTCTTACTCTACACGAATTACCCTTAACTCCTCAGGCCTCCTGGGGTCCACAGGACATGTCTTCTATACTTTCCTCTGTAAGTTGGCTATTCGGACTTCATCCATCCTGTTAAGTCAGCTGACCATGAGTGTGTGTTTATGATTTTCCCCAAATTAGACATTTCCTCTCTGTTTCTGTCATCCCCACTTCCTTTTTCCTGGTGGGATTTTGTCCATTTGTGTGATTCCAGGAGGGAACTGTGATAAACGGTCACGATCAACCTCCCAAGTCTGTGGATTTAACATCTGCCTTCCCCACTAACCTCGCACAGCCCACAGTCACTCTCACCAGCTTCCTTCCTCAGCTTTCAAAGCACCTACCAGAGTGCCTGGCACACGCTAGCAGCAGCTTAGGCAATAGGGGTTGACTAAATTAAAAGTGTGGAGGCAAGCAAGCTTTACAGGGAAGAGTATCTGCTTACTGGGTGTGAGACCCCAGGCTGTTCAGTGGAATAAAAGCCAGGAGTGGGTTGAGGGGGTTGGCAGATAAGCTTGGTCATACCAAGACAATAGAAACACACACACACACACACACACACACACACACACACACACACACACACCAAAAACCTTTAGCTTCATCCATCCAAATATTCTGAACAGACTCCCCCAACCAGGTGGCTGAAGGAGCTCACAAGAAGAGCCTGGCTCCACCCTCTCTCTCTCTCTCTCTCTCTCTCTCTCTCTCTCTCTCTCTCTCACACACACACACACACACACACACACACACACACACACACGCCCACTTCACACCCAGAGCAGGGCCTTTTGTGTCTCATTCCTGGAGGGGAAGGGAACCAGAAGTCTGGAGGAGGGAAGGAGGAGAGGGCCACCTGGGAGGGAGGGCTGAGAGGAGTGAGTGGGGAGGGAGGAAAGAGTGAAAAAGTGAGGAAGGGGAAGAAGAGGGAGAGGACAGCCTGGAGGCTTCAAGCCTCAGCACCAAGCCCTGATGCTGGCTGTGGAGCTAAAAATACAGGGCTTCCTCTCCACCACTGTCTTAATGTAGTTTTTTAAAACGAGGCAGCCTCTTTCTAGTTCTCCCTTTCCACTGTCATTTATTTTAGTTTTTATCTCCACAACAAAAATTCCTTCCAACTTTCCCCCCCTGTCTCCCTCTAATGCTCTTCACTCTCAAATGCTAATAACCTCCAGCTGTAAAAGGCTTAGAAGTGGCTCTAGATTGTTTGATCTTTGGCCTGTGATCTGCTTTCATCTCTCTGCTTTCAAATGTTACTTTAGATTTACTTTAACCTATTAACATGCTTGGTATTCATAGACACGCACACTCCAAAACAGCTTCCAAGCTCCCCAACTGCACGCCCCCCCCCCATTATAACTGGGCCGGAAACTGAAATTCCCAGTGCAGACCGGAACTTTCCAGGGCTGGATGGAGGAGGAGGCCTGGAAGGCGTGGAAGGGAGAAAGCCGGGGAGCCTGAGGAGGCGATGCAGGAGAATGATGGGAAGGAGGAGGAGGAAGAGATGGGGGAAGCGGAGAAAGGAGTAGAGAAGAAGAGAAGGCAGAAAGGAAAAAAGGCAGAGAAAGGGACCAGGGGTACAGAAGTCAGGAAATCGTCCAGGACTGTTAGCCTCTGTGCTGGTTCCTCACAGCCTAAATCTACTCTCCCCTGATGGAGGACGGGGACCCAGAGCCCACTGAGTTAGTGCTTGAGATTTCCAGCTTGTGCTTGAGCTGGGGTGTCTGGCATGCTGTTTCCACAGGAAATGAGGGGCCTGAATATGGATGGAACTCCTCACCGAGACCACAAGGGTACAGTTCAATTGTTTGCTGGATAAAGTAGCGTGTGAGGATATTCAGTGCTTGATTATGTCTTCTGTGTATGTGTGTGTGTGGTGTCCATGCATGCAGGGGTGTGTGACTATGACAGGGTGTGTGTGGGTGGCTGGAGAAGGTTCCCCAAGCACCTGCAGGAGACCCTTTGAGTGCTCCTGTGAGAACTGAGCATTGGAGATGATATGGGTGGGGGCTGACCATTTTTCTCTCCTCTCCTCTCTCTCTCTCTCTCTCTCTCTCTCTCTCTCTCTCTCTCTCTCTCTCTTTAACACACACACACACACACACACACACACACACACACACACACTCGCTTTCCACTTTCTCCAAGCTACAGCTGTCACCCCACAGCCTCTAAATCGGCCAATAGACAGAGCCCCGGAGGAGGACTGCTGATCTCAAAAGGTTGGAGAGCCTTAGAGCTGAAACCACCCCAAACCAGCCCTTTCCCCAAGCCTGCTCTCCTGTCTGGGTGAAGCAGGTGTCTCTGTCACCCCCACCCTTGCCCCCTAGGGAAGATCTGACTACAGAGGGAATCCAGCGTCCTCCTAGGCAGTCTCTGCAGAGGGAGGAAAACCCACCAAAGCTACCGAGAGAGGACCATGAAACCCCACATGCAGTCAGAAAGTCCCAGGTGCAAGTCTCAGATCAGGGACTCAATCCCTTCCGCCTCAGGTTCCTCATCTGTGAAATGGACTAGCAGCTCTTCTTGAGCTGTGCCAACAAAAATAATCCCAGCGAGGATATAACTGTAAGTTACAGAACATGGATCATGTAGCAGGTACTGTTCTAAGTGCCTTATGAATATTAACTTGCATAATCCTCCGTTAATCCCACTTAATCCCCTTTTAACCCTATGAGGTGGATACTATTATTAGTCTCATTTTCTAGATAAGGAAATGGAGACACAGAAGGTTTAAGTAATTTGCACAAGGTCACACAGCTAGGGCTATTATGTTCATTTTAGACTAATTAGGCTACAGAGGTCACATGAATTCATCAATTACCTCATCCCAGTTCCTTAACAGCCCTTGGAGATAGGGGCCTCTGCCACTAGCTCACACAGAAAGGAACGGTCCAATCTCACCCTAGGAAATCAAGTTCATTGCCACGGCAACCCAAGTTCCTTAACATGTTCTGACATGAGGCTGCATCTCCCGGAACAGGACTAACCTTGTTATTATTACGCATGAGTACTGGCAAAGCAGCAAAGGGGGAAACTCTTGTCTGCGGCGTTAGAAGCCAGGGCACTAAGGAAAAGGAAGTGTTTCTAAGCTGTCCTCCTGCTGGGACCTTCTCTAGGGCTGTCCATGGCCTTCCTAGTGCTGTGGGTGGGTTGCTTCTGGTTCTTTACAGGAAAAGGAGCCGAACCCACATTAGAGTTTTTACAGCCCGGGTGTCCTAGTTCAGTAGAATCTCTCCTGTGGCTTGACCCCTTGACTTCCCATGGTTCGAGGACTAAGAAAACAGGTGATCCTAGCAGAGCCCACCTATAGGCTACGTTGGCCACCGAAGTAGAAGATCTACCCGCTCGAGGCCCATCAGCATCCATCATCTTGTTCAAACATCAGTAACTCTGAAAGTTATGGTCCCATTCACACCACTGTCAGAATTTAAGTGACTTCAGCATGGTCACACAGCATCTCCTTGTCACACCCAACTGCCCGTTCCTTGGCGCTCTACAGGTATAGATTGATAGCAGTTGAGAATTAAATCAGGAAGCCACTGTGTGGGGCTCCCGCAGGTGATACACATGGGACTCCACATTCGCTAGGAATGCCCTGGGCCTGCGTCTTCTGATGAGCTGGAGGAATCCAAGTTTAAGGTGTGGCTTCTTCCTCTCTCTGGATACTCTCTCTTCTAGCTTGCTCAATCTAGTCAGCTCTCCATAGCAGTGGCCCCCATGATGGCAGAGCCCTGGGCCAAATTTGAGGGCCTTTCTACTTATTGGCTCTGTACCCCTGTTTGAGTGGCTGACCAAAATTTCCCCATCTGCTTAAATCGTATGGTGTTTTTAATGAACCATGACTTCTGGGGTGATCGGGCCATGGGAGTACAGTTCTCTTACATACTGACTTCCTGCACAGCCCATTGAGGTCCCCTTAGGAAGGAGCTGAATGTCACACAGAGTTCCCAATTTAGGGGCAGGTGAAGGCATACACTTCTCAGGAGGGCTGGACATCTGCACCTTTTCCTCTGCAAAGCTCGGACTGTGTCACTGTTTATAGGACAGACAATCAGGCCAGGAAGAACAAGTCTAGGTTGCTTTGATGGTAAGGGCAAGGCTGATTAAGGCTCCTTTTTTCCCACCCCACCCTGGTCTGTGGTATCTTTTGGTGCCAGGCTCACCAAGGGCTTGGAGAAACTGGGAGGAACTGGAAGCACTTGAGGAAGCATGCCCCCTTCTTCACACCACCCACCAGCCCTTAGCTACTGGAAAGAACAAATGCAAATGGACCCAAAGCACAATACCCAGAATACACTGCCATGCTTCCTAGGGGCTTGCTGTAAGTTAAAGCTGGGCTCCTCCTGGGGGCTGACATTTTCCCTGGTTCAAACAACATCTGCGCCTCACCGAGCTTGGCAAAAGGTGAAGGAGCCAGTCGCTGCCATTGTAGACTCTAGTGAGGCAGAAGAGAGCCATCCCACATCCCTTTCACCTGCACAGGGGAGGGTGAACCCACACATGCCCATGTATATGCCCGCTCAACATGTCATAAAACATGTACAGCTGGAGGAGCCTCTCATACACACCTGGAATGCTGGCAAGGCACACTCCTCCTGCTGTGCTGTGTGTGCTCTTTCAGCAACCCTTAGGCTTATTCAACCTCAGACGTACAAATACATGTGTGTATTTACTGTGAATGGCACACAGGTTCCTGTGACTTGTCCACCCTCATCCTTCCCCAGTTCAAGTCCCAGCCCCTTCCCTGCCATCTGCCTCCAGCCCTATGACTGGGCTGGAGCAACTCGGCCGCTGCTGAGGATTCAAAATAAATGCATTCTTAGAAGGACCGTCTTCCCTCCAGGCTGCAGGCCAAATCTCCAAATGAAATCAGGCTGGGGAGAAATGAACAAGCGAGATGCAGAAAACAATGTGAAGAAGAAACTCTGAAGATACGAATAATAATAGAAAAAAAGGTGAGAGTTATTTTTCAGCTCACTGGCTTTTTGAAAAGTAATATAAAGTTGGCCAGCATCTTCTTGGAACCGACCTTTCTGAGCTGAGACCCAGGCCACACACACATCTCTTTCCTCCCTTTCTATTACCTGAAATTTGTATGGTTTCATCTCCTCTGATTTTCTTTCATTTGTGCGCCTGTGCAAACCCCTGTGTCAGGGGCTTGTTCCTAACCTGGCAGGCCCACCAGGCTGCCAGCACTTCTCCCTGGGCCTCCTGCAGGGCTGAGAATTGAGATCCTCCCAGGGCCCATGGTGCTCCTGCTCCAGCTCCCCCACCCACCTGGCCTCCCAGCTGTCTTTGTTCCTAAGAGGACGGACTCTCCTCTTCTTTCTTGCACACTATCCTCTCCGTGAGCTGGGGGGACAGGTCCTGGAGTGCAGTCGAGTCCAGAATCTGCTGCACCCTGTAGCAGAACACACATTCACAAGGAAAGAGTGTGTCTTCTTCAGGGTTCCTGCCCCAAATTTTCCAGGATAAAGATTCGGGGCAGGGGGGGGGGGCTAGGAACGTTGTTAAGAGTAATGCATTGCCTATCCACTGCGATTCCAGGGAGTCCTCTGAAGGAAACAAGATGCAAAAGTCTTGCATAGACGTATTTCTGTTGCTCTCCTATCACTCCCTACCTAAGGTACCCACACACTCACACATGCACATATGCACAAAGGCTTGTATGAGGTCCTCAAGCATAGCTACACAGGTATACCCACACACTCCTCAAACATTCAAATAGACCTATATGTATATATACTTTAAATGCATCCATATAAGCACAAACATACCTTTTAACATACATGGATGCATGTGCTTTAAACACATCCACACAGATGCACACACATGCACATCTCACAAACACTCAAGTACATGTCTATACTCCTAAAGAGACCAAACCATGTGTGTACATGGACAAACAAACACACACTTAGACAATATGTGTGTGTGTACTGACGCATCTTAATCACATGCAAATGTATATACACACATACATACCTCACAAACACATGCAAACACACACACACACACACACATACACACACACACATCTCTAAGGAGACCAAAACATATACATACAGAAGATACCCATTTCTTAGATGCAGGCACATGTATTGACACATCTTAAGCACACCCTCACCATCACTCATGTGTGCTCAGGTACACATGCATGTTCTTCTGCAGGGGTACCTCTCAAGGCCATGCTGACACTCTTTTGGTAGCCATTTCTCTCCCACACCTGAGGGGGTGGGGTTGTTCTGGAGTCTGGATTCTTATTGACTTTTGCAATTAACGCATTAACATGAATTCCACAACCTTTCCCAACTTCCTCTGTTATTCATTGCTGAAAAGATGAGGGAGGGGTGCTGACTCCAGACTGAGTGTGGTCCTTCAGCAGGACAGATTGGTGCTCTATCTGGGTCCACTCTAAGAGTTAAGAAAGTCTGTATGGGTAGATATTGAGTAAGGGAATGAAAGCAAGTAGATGCAGAAAAAGTGACTGGTTTTTTAATTTTTATTTTGCCAAAGAAAAGTAGGAGGAAACAGTCAATTCTTGACTTCTGTGCATTCTACCATCTTCAATGAAATTTTTGAAGCACCTGGGGTATGAGGGACTCAGGATATGACTCAAGGGGTAGATTGCACAAGACAGTACTGATTATTGACATTAGTGAGTTCTTGGCTGCTTGCATCCTCCTTCTTTTAACCCATTTCTCTCTTTACACTCGCCATTCAGTATGAACGCTATAGGTTTTAGCTGTGAACCTTGGAGGTGAGGATTATGGGCCTCAAATAAGGTGAATGAATGATTTAAGTGTATCTGTAGGGCCATTGCTGTAAACATCCCCATATCTCAATGGGTCAGCACAGCTTCTCCAGCTTTCCTCTCTACAGCTGGGGTTGGTAGGATGCTAGGATGCTCTATTAGAGTAGTAGTCAGGGCGCCTAAGCAACTTCTGTTTTGCAGTTCTTCTGCCCATCAGGTTCTTGGAGCATCTCAATTAGGGAGGTGAATGGAAAATAGTAGGTAAGAATCCTTTGTGATATGCTTTTCTGGGCAAGACCTGGAGATGGCGCATATCATCTATGTTCACACTCCACAGCATAGAACATAGTCATGTGGCTATACATAATGACCAAGGAGGCTGGGAGATACAGTCTAGTTCTCACTGTAGGAAGAAGAGGAGAATGCAGACATTGGTGAACCATAACCAGCATTGCACAGCTAGAGTCTGTTCTCAGATGTAGGTCTTTGCCTTCCAGGCTCTGTGGTCTCCCATTCTATAATTTACAGTTGAAGTCTTTGGTTTTACCAACAAAGGTTGGGCCCTTTTTGTTCTAGGTCTAGAAATCTGTGCGTGTATAAGATTAACAATCATGAACACTGTATTTAATGATTTATTTGGCTTCTGTGTACTCTGTTAGTCACACTCTCTATAATCTTCACTACCCTCATCCCATGAAGTAGTTAGGCCTGTCTTCTGACTGAGGACCTTGTACCTCAGAGATACTGGGTGGCTCACCCAAGTTTGACAGATAACGAGGCTATGGAAACATTTTAGTCCCATTCTCTCTCCTTTCTACTATATTGCTGTGGCTCCCACTGGCCATAGGATTGGAAGTGGGGTAGACAGAAAGTCATCTTTCTGTCCAACAGGGTGGGATATCCTGATGAAACTTAAGTACGCTGCTAAAGTTTTCAGGAGTGAGTAGGGTCCTTTATAGCCTCTTGGCTCTTGGTACACCTGAAAAGCTATAATCATGGTAACTCATCTGGGTTGCTTACCATAAACTTGGAAACTGAAAATTGACTTCTAGTTGTATGATCTTGGACAAATCCCCCCCCCCCGGGGGGGTTAGGAGTTGGGAGGTGTTCGTGCTGAGAAACCATCTGCAATTGACAGCTACTTGGGGCATCTCACTTTGAGTCCTTCGTTCCTTTACCTTTCTTCTGAAATTTGAAGACTGTAGCCCCTATTATCACTCTGCATCTCAACCAACCTCCTAATCAGCCTCTCAACACCACACTTTTCACACTCTTCCTGCATATCCATGACAGATTAACCTTTGTTCTTAGTCACACATACAACCTTTCCCATACTGCTCTGATGCTCAACAAGATATAGGCAGCCCTGCTCTGAAGTCCAAGCTCACTAACAGAGTCCTTGCCTATTTTTGAACCAAGTACACATCTTTCCTGTCCAGACAAATTACCCTTGATTCCCTTGAAACACACCAAATACTCCATGCTCCCTCTGTGATGTCTTTTTCATCCTTGTAACCCCATGACCAGGTGACCCTCCTTACCAGCGTATCAGTGTTGCCTCTAAAATCCCTCGGTTAATCACTGCTCATTTTCAATCTTATGTCACCATCTTTAGATGCCCATATATGACTTACATAATAGTACCCAAATGTTTAGCAATATACATCCACATAAAGCCTTAGAAAGCTTTTAAAAGGGGGGCTTCTAGACCCACAAAAATGTGAGTAAATTGGACTTCTTGGTAGCTACATTTTTTTTTCAGATAGGCTCTGCTTGCTGGTGGCAAGCAGAGGCACGGATTCTTTAAGAGATGACTTCTTGGTTTGTATTGGTGGCACGAACAGCTCTAGTTCTTTTGGGAGGTCTCACTATAGAGTAGTCAAATGGGGTTTGTAGGCAATATGCTACAAGTTACTTGGTGGTGGAATGGGCCAACTGCTTCCCAGAATTGGGGTGGTAAACATGGCTCCCAGAGTTGGCAGTAAACAGATCTTTGCCATGTTGGAAAGTCGAGCAGGGTAGAACCAACAGCCAAAGCGGTCACTCTGGTTCTAGTCAAGCCCGCATAACAGCTTAAAGCAGTGATCAAAAAAGGATTACAGCTATGCAATAAAGGCAGATTCAGACAAAAATAAACCTCCAGATAGGTCATAATGTGTGTGAAAAATGTACATGGACAAGAAAAAAAGAAAATGTGTATAGGCAGTAATAGGAAGAAATAATTTTAAAAAAATAAAACAAACTCTTTAAAGAGACAGTAAAAGTAATATAAAAGAGGGCAAAAGTCATAGATTTAAGCCGTAAAGATAATAAAATAAATATTAAAAGGTAATAGAGTAAAAAGTCACATAAAGATGGAAAATACACAGAGAATCTGGATTATGTATATTATTGTGTTCTTTAAACTTTTTGATTGTTAATGAGCTAACTGCGGAGAGACATTTGATTCTGGGGGCTGCTAAACTAAACCAACATATATATTTTAAAGGTATCTTGACTTCAAAATTTGAGTCTAAGGATATGTTACTTCAGAAAAGAGGTTCTGCTTTTGTTTCCACAGAAGATGAGAACCTGTGGATTCCTACCAGACTAATGTGGTTTGATGGAACAAGACACCCCAAAAGGTCTCTGTGAGCCCTAAAAATACTTCATCCAACAAACAGTAGTAAGCATTTTAGAAAAAACTATGTCCAAATTCCAAAAATTATTGTTTATAAATGTTTTCATTTAAAGGGGGTTGATTATAAATGGTTAAATAATTGCAGTCAATCTCTTTTTTAAAAGGGGGGAGATATAATATAAAGATGAATACTTTGCATTAGTATGGATCTTGGTCTATTGATAGAAATTTAAGGACAATTTGTTACATTGTATATATGTATTTCTACTTTTTTAAAAAAGATATTGTGTTGTGCAGCTCATTTAAAATGTAATTTATAATTAAGAAATACAGATTAATAGATAGTCATTTATAATATTCAAACTGTAGTCATGTCAGTTAGGTTTTCTTGTTGTATAGAGATATAGTTCAGATGGATAGGAATTATTCAAACCTTTCAAAGACCTATAGAACATGGCATTTAAAATGTTTTAAAAACTTCAACTTTTCTCAACAATGAGACATGTCTGATTCTGACATCACCAGTTACTTCAGGGGGTTGATGGGCATTGAAGAAACTCATTATGGAATTAGCCTTCAAT